GGGGGTGTTGTTGGAGGTTATAACCATCATAACATTATAAATAAATCAATGAATAAAAGATCGAATTGTTATACATCAATACTTTGTTTTTGGAAAAACCCATTGTATTTCACTAAAAATTATTGCAAATAATTTTGCGGTTTTCCAATACAAATTATTGCAATAAAGTGTACATCACAAATTTGTTGCGGTATATCAGTATAAAGTGTTGCAAATGATCAGCCAGGCATGTCGGTCAAACTGTCAAACGGTCAAACGGGCCAACGGTCAAATGGTCAAACGGTCAAATGGGCCAGCGTACCTTCCACTGTGAAGTAACTCGTGGCAGCAAAAGCTCCGGTACCACCGGCGATTGCCAGACCAAACGTGCTAAGTCCGTAGATGATTCCTGTAGGGGGGGAGGGGGAGGGGGAGGAGGAAAGGATGAAAGAGTTTTAGTTTTAGTAGAGGTTTTACGGCGCTTGCAAATGCATAAGGTCACATGAGCACCAGAAGATTAGAGGTGTTACAAGTGAGTAACAAACAAAAAAGAAAAAGGGGAGATAAGGACGATAAATGTTTGATAGGAAAGAAGCAAACCACACCAGAGCACCCGCCAACCACCCACAAAGGATGAAGGAGTTAGGAGCATGAGTATGCTAGGTGTATTATTGTCATCGTCATTGTTTTTGTTAATATGATAAGTAATAGCATCATCACCATCATTGTTTGGAAAGCAAAGCAGAAGGGAGTGTCTTGCTTGATTTTCAGACAAATTAATAGACAAATTATACAATGCTTAAAATTAAATTGTTTAATTGACACAGCTCAACGTTACGCCTCTTGGGCTTCTTCAGGAATCATCATCGTCATCATCGTCATCATCATCACTATCATCATCATCATTATCATCATCCTCATCAACATTACTACCACAAACAGCCACCACTACTATGTTACAGCAGCAGTAGCAGCAGTGGTAGGGCCTATCATTCTTCTTCTTCTCTTTCATATTTTTGTTGCTATCATTATCATCATTATTATTATTATTATTTATTATCCATATA